AGACAGATTTCTTTGTGAACTTTTCCTTTCCTTTGGAAGAGAGTGGGTCTAACAAACAGAAAACAAGCATTGTAGAACCCCTCTGGGACTATACTATTTCAGAAAGCAGGTGTGAGGCTACGTGTTCAAATACTTCAATATATGTATGTATATATGTATGTATGTTTAAATGGATGCAGAATGCTACCATGTCAGAAACAAAAAAGCTGGTCCTAGAACCATTTGCTCTGGATAAGCGAATCTTTGAACAAGTGAATACTGTATGTAGTTACTCTAGTTGCATTTGAAAGTGATATACCGTAATATCACTTAGACAAAACTGGTGAATTCTGCATATGGAGATCAGCTCACGTCTTTCTGGTGGAAAGCTATGGAGACCTGGATTGGAATCCCTGCTTGGCTATGGCAACTCACAGGAATGAGAATGGAAATGATAAATCTGATGAAAATGGTAAACCACTTCTTGAACATTTCACATACAGTGGTGCCCCGCATAGCGAGGTTAATCCGTTCCGGATTAACCTTCGCTATGGGGAAACATTGCTAAACGGAATGGAAAAGCCCATTGGCATTAAACGTCATTTAATGTGTTCCAAATGGGCCCAAAACTCACCGTTCTGCGATGTTTCCCCATCCGGCCGCGGCCATTTTGGGTGTTCCTGTGGCCATTTTGGGTGTTCCTGTGGCCATTTTGGGTGTTCCAGCGGCCATTTTGGGTGTTCCGGTGGCCATTTTGGGTGTTCTGGCGGCCATTTTGGAACTGCCGAACAGCTGTTCGCCCATCACAATGCGAAAAAACATCAGTATGCGGATTCATCGTTAAATGGTGCACTCATTATGCGAGGCACCACTGTACCTTGAAAACTCTACTAGGACTAGACCCCACATCAGAAGTGATTTGATGACATATACCAACTTATGCTTGGGTGCCAAAGAGTTGCATGCAATCTGATCATTCAGGTGGTATAGATTATCCACCCTCTTGGTTTGTTGGCTGATAGCACTCAGAACCAGCAGGGAAGGATTTATTTAAGATGTTTAGTAGTGGCATCCCATGGTAAGGCACAGAACTGAGTTGTGTAGAGTTTTGTAATCCTGTTCACTTGAACAACAGATATGTGCGATGGGGACAACACACATGCATTCTTTCCCTCAGATATGTTTCTTTTATCTCTTTTATTATTTCTTTAAACATTTTTACTGCATCTTCCTTCTGAGGACCTAAGGCAGCTTACAGTTTTAAAAACAAATAATATAAAAGCTAAAATTATTACAATATTTAAAAAAATAATAAAACAAATAAAGTAAAGAGATACTCATGGATAAAAGCAACACTAAAAACACATTGAAAACCAACGAGAAATACAACAGTCCTGTTTTAAGAACCTCCCCCACCCAACAGCCAATAGTGACAGTCATTAAAAGAAAGCCTGCCTGAAGAGAAAGGACTCTGCTTGCTAACCTCCTATGGGAGGGAGCTATCAAGTCTGGGAGCAGCAACAGAGAAGGCCCTGTCTCGTATCCCCACCAAATGCATCTGTGGAGGTGGTGGGACCGAGAGAAGGGCCTCCTCTGATGATCTTAACACCTGGGCATGGTCATAAAGGAAGACACAATCCTTGAGATAGCTTGGTCTCTTGTTTCTGCGTAAAATGCTCATACTGTTGCAGTCTTACTTGATTAGTAGCTGTTCTTCCCTAGTAGTAGAAGATATACAGGTAAGAGCAATCAGTTTATGCACCCCGCTTCTTAGCAGAGTTACACAGAGAGAGAGAGAGAGATATTATCTTTTATAATTCTGTCCTAGATGCTGGTGAGAGTTTCCTGTTACATCAGGAATAGGCAATGTGGGTTGCATGTGTGGTCCTTAGTCCTCTTCCCCTCCGCCAGTCCAGACCCTGGGCCTTCACAGACCCTCTGAAACCTCTCACCACACAGTTTGCCTCAAGATCACAAATGATACTCCTACAGAAGCTAATGGGGTGTGTGTTTGTAATTTGCTGTTAAACATAAACTGGACCTCAATGTCTGTTTCAAACACTGCAAGTCCCATTTGTAGCAACTGAAAGTAATGGGCTGGATTTCTGGTTTGGGAAAACCCCAAGATTTTTCAGAGTATGTGGAGCTGGAAGCTGTGAGAGGCTTTCCAAGGTACAGGGGAAGGCAAAAAGAGTCTTGGGACCCTTGGAAAACGCCAACCAACATTATCTCTGGCCTTGCTGGATCATCTCCCTTTGCACCATTTTATTCAGGCATAACATGCTGCTGTGTGTAGGTAGATATGTCGGGACTGGAGCCATTATGTCACTGATGGAATTTTTATTCACACTCTCTCACACACATATATAAATAATTGATGTAGTAACAACTTTTAGCTTGAGTTCCTTTTGCATCCTGCCTCAATTCTGGTTCCCAGCAGGACTTTTTCAAGGTTCAAAGGACAGCAACAGTCTGTAATCCTCTTATTATCTGTCCTGTGAAGGCTGAAAGAGTTCTTTTCCCAGCTTTAAAAACATCCCTTCTAACCGATGATGCCTTTGAACTTTTTTTTACTGCCGCAGCACTTAATCAGCTCAGTCAAATCTGAAGCCATCTCCGTTCTCATCTCTTTGAATTCTGAACGATTTTATTGAATTAACTTGAAATCAGAGAGAATTTCTGCCTGAGCCTTCATATTGAGTTCAAACATTTGTTGGAAAAAACCTGCTCACTTTGAAATGTGAATCATGGTTGTGTGCTGCACAGCTGCAATGAAGAAAAGAATGATTGAAATTTTTAAAAGGGCAGTAATCTAATTCTGCAAATGTTTAATAGGCATTTCTGACCTGGTGAAAAATTAAAGGAATTAAATTCCCTATGAGGATGACTGAGAACTCTATATAGAAGGGATGTCATCCTTCATATAGAAGATTCTTTCTTTCTTTCTTTCTTTCTTTCTTTCTTTCTTTCTTTCTTTCTTTCTTTCTTACTTACTTACTTATTTATTTATTTATTTATTTATTTATTTATTCCCCGCATAGCGACGAATCCACATAGCGATGATTTTTTCGGAATGGATTATCGTTGCTATGTGGGGCACCACTGTATTTATTTATTCAACTTGTATGCCGCCCACACTCTGCAAGAGTCTCTGGGTGGCTTCCAACATCAATTAAAACAGTTCAGTTAAAAACAGACCCTAAAAACCAATACAGCCACATCCACTCTACAAAAGCAAAATCAAAAACAATAAACAAAATCAATCTAGATCCATGACTCTATTATTAAAATTAAAACTTTCAATTAAAACATTGAAAGGAAGGGTTTCTTTTAAATGTCAGTAACATTGGCGCCCATCGGATGTCGTTTGGAAGGAGATTCTAAAGACCGGGGGAAGCTGCCAAAAAGGACCTCCACCTACAGGCCATCTCTCTCACCTCCCTGAGGGACGGCTCTTTCAGGAGGGCCTTCTGGCTAGATCTCAGTGGCTGGGTAGGGTCGTATAGAAGTCGGCGGTTCTTCAGGTATCCAGGGCCCAAGCCGTTTAGGGATTTATAGGTCAAAACAAGCACTTTGAATTGGGCCCGGGCAACAACGGGTAGCCAGTGTAACTCTTGAATTAGACTTCTCAGCCACACTAGACGCTGTTCCAAGTCCTCCATACAGAGCACAATACCATAGTCTTTCGAGACTGAAGGATGCCTAATCAATTTGCTGCCATGCCACCCTACACAGCTCCCATCAGTACAGTATAACAGAATATTTTTGGATAGTCTTTCGAGACTGAAGGAGGCCTAATCAATGCTTTAGATCAATTTGCTGCCATGCCACCCTCCACAGCTCCCATCAGTACAATACAACAGAATATTTTTGCTAATCCCATCCTTTACTACAGATGTGAAAAACAGCAGGTTTGCTGTCACATCCACCTGCAGCTATTCTGCTGTATAGAAGGGTCTGCATTGCAGGATACAATCAAAAGAGCTTCTGTGCAATGTGCGGGCCAAGGACAGCTTGCCAGCACTCTTGCCTAATTCAAGTATGGATTAAATTGCACCCTGCTAAAACACAGTGTGCATTGTGCTCCTTTGTTATGCAAGTATACTAGTCACAATCTCTTCTTGTAAAGAGCGCACATTAGCTCCAATAAGGGGTCTTTGTTTTGTCCTTTTCTTTCTTTTTGGAAAAAAAAAAAGAAGTGACTGAATTGGAATGTACTTCAGGTAGTAATATAACCTCCCAGTCACAGGGCTCAGAAGGGAGGGGGAGAACATCCATTCATTCCATGGGAGATATGTTGGAGGGAACTTTATGGTACACATAACTGAAGTTCTTCCAAATGACCACAATAAAGAAATCTTAACTATGCTGCACTTATATTGGACAAAAAAGTGTCCCACTGACAGCTAGCTGTGCCTTGTAACACCACATGGTGATTATTCTGCTGGCAAGAAATATAGTAAGAGAACATTTTAAGATGCAAAATATTGTTTCTGTTGTAAAATGTTAATAGGATACTACTATGTACCACATTGCATCTTGGTGGGTTGTTCATAGTCAACTTGCCACTTGAAACTTACACATGATGTACAAACCTTAAACTGGTCCTGTTTAAGTAGAATAGCCATGTTCAATTTTTTGATAGATCTACTGCAATAGCCCTTAAAATACTGCCATGATATACTTCTAATTTGTATGGCAATAATTAATCACCAAGAGCTCTCTGTGTGTACACATCTTTCATATTACTAACCCTAGTGTCCTTTTTCAAAGAAGTCTGTCAATTTGGAATCAGAATAGAAAATCTCCTTTTCTATCCCTGCTTCACACCAGAGCAGCAATCAGCAACAAAGGAAGTATAAAATGACCTTAAAATAAACTCAGAATTATAAATACATTAAGAGGCTGAAATGGCTAGTGGATTGTCTAAATAAAAGAGTTTGTTTTACAACAGTTGGCCAAAGATATCCCATATTATTTATATGGAAGTCTATACTCTGAAACACACATGTAAACTGAAATATTTCAATGGCTATTTATTAACAAATAGAAAAACATATGCATATAAAATGTACATGAGGTTGCAATTTACAACTTTTAAAAATTCCTGCATATAAAATAATATTGGAAACACTTTCTTGTTTGAAGGCAGTCTAAAAATATCTGAGTTTTCTATTGGCATATACATGCTCACCATAGGCAACATAAATCAAGACCAATCTGGTTAAATCAAACATTTTGTAAACTGTTTTTACACAATACATACATTTTAAAGCCCTGCTATTGCTTTATTGTTAATATTTGATCTTAAAGAAACTGGTAGAAAATAATACAAAGTGTAAATTCCAATGGCAAACTTATGCCTTAATGAACAAAAATAACAAAAAGGCATTTTCAAAGCAGTTACGATAGGTAAACAGTTGTCTCTATGTATAGTCTATTAACAGTTTTGCAGAATACTGAAATGCATGTTGGATTCTTTTATTTACAATATTTACACAAATACATGTCTTCATGCAAAAATTATACAGAACGTTTGCTAGTTTTTCTTAGTGTGAATTTCATAGCAACAGCTTTATGACACCCTAGTGCCTGATACTATCCCTCTTTAATTCAAAGTTCCAATGAATTCAACAGGACTTGCCTCTAATGTGTGCACAGAACTGCAGCTTTATTTTTATACACTTGTCACTCCAGTACATTCCTATATCTAAGTTCAGCTGTATTCAGTGGGAGTTATTGATAGGTAAGTGGTTAGTTGATAACTAAATTTTATTCCTTTGTTAAAACTTAAAAAAAATAGGATTAAATCAATTACTGACAAAAAATCCAGTTGCTTAGCACAGTAAAATCACATTAGAGTAAACTATTAAATCAATGGGGATTTAATGAGTGCTAAAGTACCTTACAGTTACAGCAGACCCATATAAATCAGGGGAACCTATAGAAAAGTTGATTCACAAAATTGCCATTGATTTAATGGGCCTACTTTAGTGCAGTTTACTAAGTTATGCAACAGGTTGTGGTTATTGTTATCAGACCAGACCCATCAAACATTGCTGCACACTTTTTAATGTAAATTCCATTGATTCAATGAGCCTACACTACCTGGGACAAAGAATTACATTTAGCCTATAGGTAAAATGTATCTTTAGGCTAAATCCTCTTTTAGTGCAACAAAACAACCATTCCAACAGAAATGAAACAAGAGTCTTTTTTTGCTAGATAATGCTAACAATTTTGTATGCCATGATAAAAATGCTCCCAAAATTATGGGTGAAATGTTTCACTTGAAGTTGAAATAATTTTAGCAAAGAGAAGTTGTAATAGAAAGTTGTTGCCCTATTAGGATTGCAATCCTGATATTTCCTTGAGAGTTAACATCACTGAAAACAACAGAATAGAGTTCTAAATAAATATACATATGATTACATTGAAAACATTGCCAGAAAAACTTTAGTATACTTGCAAGTTTCGTAGCAAGTCTTTCCCTCACAAATAATTAATGCACACAGTATTGTAACAGTCACATAGTGTAGTTTCCAAGTTCACAATCAGTTTGTACAACAAAGTATTTTATTTATTTCAATTTATTTACTTTTCTTTAAAAAAAACAGCTCTCCAATACTGGACTTATGGCACATTCTGCAATGAATCAGAGTGGTCCAACATATTAGAAATCCTATAAAATGCTTCCTTTTGCTAAAAGCTAAAAGACAACACACACCCCTTGATGCGCACACCTACTGTTAGTAGCCATATACTCATACAAATCTGTTGCTCCTTATATTTACATAATCTGCTTAGCTGTGATTGCTAAGCTTTGATTGTATGTCCATGAGGCACAGAAGTTTCCCATTCAAAGAAAAAGAGAACAGCATGGATCTGCCTTTGGTCTTTTACCAGGTTTCTCCTTCAAGTTTTCCCATACAGCTGCTGTGTCTCAAATACAACTGCCCCAATGCTTTGAAATGCTGCCAATTTATTTCAGCTGTTTCTGAAACCTTGTAATGTCAGTATCCAGGCTGCATTCCATTCACAAGTGTTTGAAGAGAGGCACGGAGGGAAGCACTCCATTTTAAAGACCGCCAGGAAATGTCCTTTTGACTCCTAAAAGCAAACAAGATGGCAGATGTTAGTCAAATGTTTAAACACATGCACTATACCTTCCCATATTCTAAATCACAGTTACTATTATAATAGGATACTTCTTCCATTAACTTTGTAGTTTTAACTAAAACATGGTTTTGCAACATAAGGTTTGTATCCAAAATGAAAAGTCATAAGGATGGAGCCTGCCCATCTGTAGGTACTAACCTAATATCTTAAATTGATTGGACAATGTTAAATGTCTCAAATTGAGGTTGGCTGGTGTGGGACAAGGATCTCTTTCCAAAATACATGGAAGGTACATTTTTTAAAAATAGAATAAAATAGAGATGTGAATATGCACAATATGCATGTTATTCAAAAACAGTACCATAGTCTAAAAATATATGCCCAATAATCCTAAAGAATATTACCTGAAAAATAGCAGGGACAGTATTTACATGTGTGGCATCAGCTATGGCGTGATTTAGATACGTTAAAAAGCTCCTTTCTTCACTCGTGCCTTCCTTAGCTCATTTTCCTAATCATTTTGTAAATGGCTGTGTCTTACTTTTTCTGGTTTCAGATATTTTAATTGATGAGAACGTGTATATATTTTCATGAGGTTTGTCTTGCTTACTTGATGTTGAACTGTAAATTGCTTCAATTTTTTACATATGGTAAGCAATCTACGAATGGAGTAAATAAATAAAACAAATCCAACATTATCCAGTTCAACAGGAGATTAGTATGCAAATTATGCAGAAATAACATTTATCCTGACCACCTAGATAAATATTTTGATGCACTAATACAGACATGTCCTCACTGAGGGCCAATACTTCTTTTAGTTGACTGTGTATTCTGTGTCATCAAGTCAAAACTGACTTATAGCGACTCCAATAAAGCTTTCCTGTTAAGTGTGATATTTAAGGAGTGGTTTTACCAGTTCCACTCCCCCAGTCAATTTTCATGGACAAGAGAGGATTTGAACCCTGTTATCAAGAGTCCTAATGCATCACTCTATTCACTACAACACACTAAGAATAACATTGACTAGTTGCGTGCAATTATAGCTGGAGTGGGTCCATAAACTTAAAAATGAATAGGGTCATTATAAACTGGACAATTTAAATTAGCCTTTAAAAACATATTTATAAAGTAGACAAATTTCTTTCAAATTCATTAGGTTTTAACAGATTATCACACCACAAACAGCAAGGTTAGTAATTTGAGCTATCCCTAATTAAACAATGATAAATATTACACAGTTCAAAGCCATTAATGTCATTTTCTACAGCAGGAATAACTTGCCAGCTGGGGCTCTGGAGAAGGGAGATATTGCTGGATTGGCCCAGGGACAGTGTTTCCGGCCTCTTGTCATACTAACAGCTAAGGCATGGCGGTCAGTTGTGACTAAAGTTTATGGGAGGGGAGTAGGACAAAGAATACCACTGCAATGTAAACTGATCCTGCACCATTATGACACAGAGGTTAAATCGCTGTACTACAGCCAAAACTGTGCTCATAACCCGGGGTTCAATCCCAGGTAGCTGGTTCAAGATTAACTCAGCTTCTGAGATCGGTAAAATGTACCCAGCTTGCTGGGGGAGGGGAGCAACGTGTAGCCTGCATAATTAACTTGTAAACTGCTCAGAGAGTGCTTTAAATGCTGTGGGGTGGTATATAAGCATGGAATTACACCTGCATGACTTTCCAGAATGGCTTAAATGCAGGAGTGGGCAATCTTCAGAGGTAAAAGTGTTAGACATCCCCATCCGTAAACATCATAGCTCATCTGAAGGAGCCTTGTGGCGCAGTGGTTTTAAACTGCAGTACTGCAGCTAAAACTCTGCTCATAACCCAGGTTCAGTCCCAGTAGTTAGCTCAAGGTTCACTCAGCCTTCCATCCTTCCAAGACTGGTAAATTGATACTGAGCTTGCTAAGGCGGGGGGGGACAATGTGTAGCTTGCATAATTAAATTGAAAACCACCCAGAGAGTGCTTTAAGTGCTATGGGGTGGTATATAAGCATTTTATTTGCTCCTGTGACTATTATCCCCATTTTTTCTTACGAAAATGTAAGGGGGAACTGAAAACACCTCCTTCCTCCCACAATGGCACATCTCCTGATTGTTTTGAAAGTATTAGAACCTGGTGTTCTGAATTATACACAGAAATATTGAGAAACATGCTTACAAATAGCAGAACTAGAAGCTTGTCTCAGTTTGTGTAATTCTTCTGGGTCTTTTTTCTGAGACATGAAGTTTATATAGAAATAATAAGACTTAGTGGTTGAGGACTCATTTTAATTAGATAAGGATATCATTACTCAATAATAGTAACCTTTTCAGTGATATTGCATAGCAAACTATTTTCTATGTAACTATTAATAGCTTTATCCTTACCTGTCATCAGTTTGTG